AGTTGCATGGAAAGAGATTGTCCATTTTTCTCCTGATAAAGAAAAGGTGGATTTGAACTGCCTGCCTTTGGGTTGGCAAAGACTATAGCCTGGATCAGGCGCACCTTAGTCTCCAGCCTGACGTCGTTGCACTTTAGTAGTCTTCACAGGTCCCTCACAGCTGACTTTTCCAATGCAGTTCGTCTGCTGATTTCCTGGCTGCTGTTACCAAGAGTGTTGACTGTGGAACCAAGTAAATGAAAACTGTTAACTATCTCAATCTCATCACCATCCATACTGATGCTTCCAATTGGCCCAGTATAAACCAGTGATCATATCCTACCAGTGTCATTTTTTTTAACACCACAGGAGACACAGCCTGCTGTACTGCCTCACTCATCCTTCTGTGGCCCACTGCTGTGAACTTTCTCCTTCACTTTTAATTTGTAATAACTGCCATATTCTGAACACAAATTGTGATATTTACCCTGTTTCCTACTTGTTGGTGTTCTTATCCTCTTTCCCGGTGTGTGGAAGCACCCAGGCCTGACGTAAAAAAACAGCATAAGAGTATCTCAATTTAGAATCAATAATTCCTGAAATCTTCACTCTTTCCACTGATAGTATTTTGTTGTGACATGAAGCAGAAAATTTGGCAGAAAGTCACACCTTTTCTTTTACAAGGGTACCTTCTGTCCTCACAAGTTTCCTCAATTATGGAATAACCTTAAAGTATTGCTGTGTGGGCCATGTGAAAGAACGTGTGAGGATGTGCTTCTTAATCTTCATAGTGCACATCTGATAATTGTTTTATTGATTATTATCACTTCATATGGCTTCCTTCATTTAATGACAACAAAAGTAATGTGCCTATTCCCATAATCTTTCATTTAAGCATCCTATGGTTAGCTGTTTAAGGTCACTTAATCTTAGGTGTATAATTATTTGCATTCTGAATTGCAAGCCCTTCATTAGTTTTTATAACTATAGGATTTAATAGGACATCGGGGATGGAGACAGCACTGGCAAGAGGAAATTGGATTTGGGACCTTTCATTATGATGACATCCATTTGATTGTGGTCCAACTGCCTAGTGAAGAAAAGCTGCTGTTGTGACAACTTTCTAGTGTAAAATAAAAAAGCTCAGATTGCTTATTAGTTTACGGTTTATGTAAAAAGAACAAAAGGATTCAGCACATATTAATTGAGCTTTCCCTGTGTACAAGCCACTGTAAAGATCTAAGCATGCAGCACTGAAAATACCCAGGATCTACTCTTAAGGAACAAAAAAGCCAGGATTACTGCCTGCACTGGAGTCTTCTAAAGAGAGACTTGCAAGTAAGCTTGCAGAACTGGGCTCATTATTTTATAGAAATTTATAGTTACCGAGGTGAAACATTGTCTTCTCTGTTGTTCCTCAGAAAACTAAACCAATCGGTGTTTTCAGTCCTGAATTGGGACAGCCTTGTGTATGCAGAGGAGAACTGCACTCCAAAGAGATCATAAGACTAATGTTTCTGAAGCTTAGCTCCAGGTCTTTTTTTCCCCAAGGTGCTTTGAGTCAGTATGAACCACCTGACAGTGACAAGTATTCCACCAATTGTGAGTGGCAAGTGTTTCACAAATTGTGATTCATACTACTCATTGTACATGGAGTCAGAACCAACTAATAGCTGTGACATGAAGCATCCAATAGCAGTTAACCCTCCAGCAGGTTATCAGAGGTTGTAAATTGCACAGGTGGAGACCTTTCACCTTTTAGAAGCTGTTTGTGGATTTATACCACCAGTGAGGTAACTCTGTTTTGTTAGCATCACAACTCCCTACAGATTAGGGCAAATGTGCTCCCTTTATTATACACAGGGACTCCTTTATTACCTCATTGTAAACTCACTTTTACAAAGGAAGAAAAAAGAATCCATATCTTTGCGTTGTGGTGCTGAAGACCATTGAACTTACCAGACTGCCAAGAGAACAAACAGGTCTTCTTGGAGGAGGTGAAACCAGATTGCTTCTTGGAAGCAAGGATTTTGAAGCTCCATCTCAGTGTGCCTTGGGCATGTTGCCAGCAGAGATCAGTCCTTGGAGAAGGACATTATGGTTGAAAGGATAGAGGGTCAGAGAAGGAGAGGAAGACCTTAGATGAGATGGATTGACACTGTGATGGGGCCAATGAGGTCAGATGTCAGAGCTATTGTTCATGGGGTCAATATGAGTCCTGGTGGACTTGCTGGCATGTAACAACCAGCCAGTCAGGAAACATGCTGATACCTCACAGAAATAAACTTTGGATACACATGTGTGTTTGCCTCTGGTGAGCTGTTCAGACTGGCATCGTGCAGTATGTAAATGTTTCTTGTGGAAATTGTTTTTTATAAAAAACCTATGGAATTTAATACCAGGTAAGAATAAGGAAACTCATGAAAATACTTTGTAAAACGCAAAGCTCTGTCGATATCTTAAAAATACAGTATATATATATAGTTATTTTTTAATTATAATTTTTTCCCTAAAGTCATGAATCAGTGTATGTAACAGATAAAGGCTTGGAGAAGGTTGTGAGCCTTCAGATTAGCATCAAAGCTGAAAGAACTATGCAAATATTCCACAATCGACTCATTGATATTTAGCATATATGGTAATGCAAGAGTTCACAGCCAATGTATTTGCTGATATGTTAGCTAATAAGAGAAGGTTGGGAGGTTAAGAGTACTGATGAAATATACTTACTGAATAGTGTGCTTGGTGACATAACCTCTCTTTTAGAATGGTTACAAATTCTGTGAGGATGTCCAGTTCAGCAAAGGTCTTGAGAGAAGCATACTAAATTGCTTTGAGTTCTTTCTAAGGCTATCATGCAGTTTAATTAATCAAGTCTGGCTTGCTGGCTCTGTCACTCCACTTTCTGGCTTACAATAAATGACCTACAATTAATGACTCCCTGCCTGCTTCATTTTTTCCCAAACAGTCTGCAGATGCAGGACAAGGATCTTAGAGTCTCCTTTTGTACTAGAATCCTTAACAAAGCCAAGCTACTGTAGTTGTTTAAAACCAGGCTGTCCTTACCAAAGTTACTAAGTACTTTTATGACATTTGCAAAGATTTTTAAGTTTAAAATGGAAACAAAAAAAACCCCTAATGACTCTGCATCTGATTTTTTTACATTATTCTTTAATGTGAAAATCATGTTTATCTACAGTCCCTAACACTGCAGTTCTAAAAATGAATGACTTTTAAATCCAATGACTTTGTAGAGTATTAAAACCAATCTAATTACATGTTAAACTAATACTGTCTAGATTTTAGTTTATCAGATGTATGATTTATTTATAATCAATAGTCCATGTTTGTATTTTGCAGAATTGAAATAATTTTTTAAAAGTTTTATTCTGTTGATTACTTTGTGTGTTATTTTACAAATATTTTTATAAATGTTAAAAGCCACTAGAGACCTGTTAGTAATATGTGTGGGTCTAAGTATGGTCTGAGGAGGAAAAGAAGTAGATTTAACACTTTTTTAAAAATAAAATCATTATCAATGAGAGCATCTTTCTCACTTTTTGAAAATTTTGTAATTCAAGTCTGAAATTCTTTCTTTCCTTTCTTCTTTCTACCTTAATCTGATCACAAAATTTTAATTGCTGACTGCTCTACTTCAGAAATAATTGACATCTAAAATGTGCTCAGTGGCAATTACTGATCTACTTATATACATTGACATTTAGCAATATGTTTTAAGAAATCCTGATAAATTATGCTGTAATATTTATTATATAATCTGACTTGGAAAATGTACTAAGTATGTAAATTACTGATGGAATTAAGAAAATGATAATTTCATGGTATCAAAACTATAGTTATTGTAAATTTTCAAAACTGAATTTCAAACTAATGCACAATATGATTGCTGTAATAAATTTTAATGCCTGTTGAATGTAAAAAACTTGAATTGGCAAATATTATTAATTTAATATTGCCACAATTGTACAATATTTAAAAACTAAGATGGAATTTCTAACTAAATTATGTAGGAATATGTATACATAGAATTTGGATACTCCTTGTAATTTTAAATGCAAAAAAATTATTAATTAGGTCTTTTGAGTATATTTTCTTTAATCATAACATTTTCAATATTATTATGAAATATAATTAAATGTGCAATCTTTTAAAAATATATAAATATTTATATGAAATATAACTTTTATAGAATCTCTGCATCTGGACTAGTGAATTTTAACTACAAATATTAGGAATATAAATATTGTAATATCAGTTTCACATACTTTGGGCATGTTGCTGGGAGGAGCTGGCTTTTCCTTGGAAAAGGACACAATACATGGAAGGGTAGGGGGTCAGTGAAGGAGAATAAGACCCTTGACTGGGTGTATTGATACAGAGACGGCCACAATGGGCTCTACTGTGTCAAGAGGTGTCAAGATGGTATAGGAAAAGACAGGGTTCAGATCTGTTGTTCATAGTGCTGCTATATAGGTTGCACTCAACGCAATGGCACCTAACAACAATGACAGTGATATTAATTTGTAGTGCACAGAATCATAAACAATGTCAAACTATTTGGCTACTTCTTTGTAAAAATAGTTTTTATTGTTTAGTGAAGAATTAGTGAATTAACTGAGAATTTGCTAGTTTTCTAATTAGGAGGCATTATGCTAATTTCTATAAATATAAAATACACTCCAGACTCTTGAAAGTCATTATACATTTATTTTGATCAGAAATCAAAAGGTAACAGTTAACAGTACACAATTACAAGGCAGGAAAGAAGTAACTATTAAGTAACACATTTGAAGAAAGAGAATTAAGAAAAGCATAGCTGTTTAGTATATCAAATAATGATATTTACAAAGTACGTGTACAATTTACTTAATGCTATGCTACATTATACATAATGTTACAAATGAAAATAATTTAAATACCTCTCACTTGACAGCCAAATTATATTATTTCTAATACATTTAATCTTTTTCTTCTTTTGTGTGTTTTGTTTTGTTTTTCAGAGTGCTCCGGGCCACTGGGAATTGAAGGTGGTATCATATCAAATCAGCAAATCACAGCTTCATCTACTCACCGGGCTCTCTTTGGACTACAAAAATGGTATCCCTACTATGCACGTCTTAACAAAAAAGGACTTATTAATGCCTGGACAGCTGCTGAAAATGACAGATGGCCATGGATTCAGGTAACAAATGGTGATCAGACAAGGAAACTGCAAAGGAATGATCAGAGAGTCATTTAGAATAGTAGACTTGTGAGTATGTAACTCTTTCCCACAGTTACAGAGGAAGGAAAGATTCAGTGAAAAGTCCAAATTGAGTTTAAATTCTGAAACTGAAGAGAGCATAAACAATCTTTTGAGAAGTGTGTTAACTTGTTATAAAAATGTTAAAATTATTTGAGTAAAAGTACCAGTATTTAAGGTTCATATCAAGGAAAGGGAATTATAAATAATTTGTTTATGTTAACAGTCAGGAATATTCAATACTTTAAAGAATTAGAAATTCTCTATTATTTCTACATCTATAAGAATTAGTTCCATACGTGCAATCTCAAATTGTGTACTAGATTATAATATCAATCACTCATATATCTTCAGTGCCTTCTTTCAGTATTTAAGAGTGTTTAAATTCATATTCTCATGTATATTTATTGTTGTTGTTGTTATGTGCTGTTGAGTTTCTTGTGACTCATAGCAACACTATATACCACAATCCTGAACCCTCCTCTATTCTGAGCCAACCTACAGCCATTACCCCAGTCACTGAGACAATCCATCTCATCAATGCTTTTCCTCTCTTACGCTGTCCCTCTACCCTCCCAAACATGATGTCCCTCTCCAAGAATGGTTCCTCCTTGCAGTGTGCCCAAAGTATGTAAAAAAAAAAAAGCTTCTGAATCCTTACCTCCAAGAAGCAGCCTGATTTTATCCTTTCCAAGATTAATCTAATGGTCCATGATCTATTCAGTGCCGTACAGCTCAAAGGCATCAATTCTCTATCATCCCTAGTCATTTTCCAGTTTTCTGATGTGAAGATCATGGCTTGAATCAGGTGCATCTTAGTCTCCAGACTGACACCATTGCTCTTTAGTACCCTGGAGAGGTCCCTGACAACAGACTTTCCCAATGAAATTTGATTCCCTCACTACTGACCCCAAGAGTATTGACAGTGGGGCCAAGCAAACTGAAGCTTGTAAAAATCTCAGTCTCTTCACCATCTCTCATGATGGTGCCAACTGGCCCAGTGGTGAGAATCTTTGTTTCTTGATGTTGAGCTTCATTCCATATTGAAGGCTGCAGCCCTCACCTTCTGTAGGCAAGTGCTTCAGGGTCTCCTCAGTTTCACCAAGCAGGGTTGTATCACCTGCATAACACAGATTGTTTATGAGTCTTCCTCCAATCCTGATGCCACATTCTTTGTTATAGAGCTTTGCCTCCCAAATGATCTGTTCTGCATATAGATTGAATATATATGGAGATATGACACATCCTGGTGTACACCCTTCCCAATTTTGAGTCATGCAGTGTTTCTTTGTCGTGTCCTGAAAACTGCCTCCTGGTCCAAGCTATGCCAAAGAATCTGGGAGATAACCACCTAGGCAACTGACTGGAAGAGAGCCATACTTATTCCAATTCCAAAGAAAGATGACCCAACAACAGAGTGCAGAAATTATCAAACAATATCGCTAATGTCACATGCAAGCAAAATCCTGCTGAAAATTATCTAAGAACAACTGTAACAGCGTTATCAACAGAGAATTTCCAGAAGTGCAGTCTGGGTTTAGAAGAGGCAATGACATTATAACTAATATTGGATGAGTCTTAGTTAAAAGCAGAGAATAACAAACTAATGTCTCTCTGTGTTTCATTGACTACTGAATGCATTTGACTGTGTAGATCCCAACAAACTGTAGCTAAATCTGAGAAGAATGGGGATCCCAGAACAGATGGTGTTTATGTGAAACTTATATGTGTATATTTTTACCAAGTGCTTATGTTTTTCCAAAACAGAAAGTAGCAGTAATAAACTGAGGCTTTAAGTTATTTTTCAACTATAATGTAAAAAATAGTTGGGCCAACAACTTATATCACTTTCTGAGCACTTATTTGAAATTAGATATGAAACAAATCTTGGAGAAGTGCTTTGGTGAAGCTTCGTCTCTCATACTTTGGGCATGTTGCTTATTTCTTTGAATATCGGGCATGGAAAGGTGAGGCGTCAGTGAAAGAAAGACTCCCAATGAAATTGATTGACATGGTGACTGAAACAATGGACTCAAGTGTATCTAGAGATGATGAAGATGGCACAGGATAGGACAGGACTCATGTCTGTTGTTTATAAGATTGCTATGAGTCATACTCGATTGACAACATCTAACACCAATAACAAAATCTTAGGAATAATTCTCACCAAAAATAGTTGGAAAAAGCAAAACTCAACATTGTTACATAATAAATAACTTACTCTTAATTACATGAATGTATATGTTTTACTATTGTATTGTTTTAAAATTACTTACTTTCTAAGTTATTTTTCTAAAATGTTATTCTTTTACATATGAAAAATCATACCGAAGAAGCTCTGGGAAGTTTAATCATGTACTAAATGTCCTGTATTTGAGCATTCATTATTAATTTCTATTGTCAAATAATTTTATTTATATTCAATCTTTCAAATGAAACATTTGAGCACTTTGCTTAAACTCACTTATAATGAGCACAGTACTCCCCTAATCTTTCAGGTGTTTGACGCACATGCAATAATTAGTATTAAATTTCATTTTCTTCCTCTTCTTGATGAAATGAAAATTGAAATTGCTATTTTAAATTTACACTCTCAGCATGAAATTATTGATAGTACCACAATGTTATAATTGGTTCCAGATTTAAGGGGTAATACAATAAATGGAGTTAAATAAGCATAGTTTTACCCATTTTTTAAAAGTTTCTCTGACTTTTATTTCTTCACCTAGATTTAGTTCATAAGTGACCTGGAATATCTTTTATTCTTTCAGCGTAATATATAAGAAAGAGCAAGCTTTCTGTATTTATGGAAATTTTGGTTATGACATTAAAAAATTTGAAATCTTACTAAATCTTCTAAGTTCTTTGCTACCTGAATAAAGTCAGTAAGAAGGATTACTTTTTATTTGTTTTTAAAAATAATTATTTCTTGGTTTTTATTTATGTTATTTTTAATAACCATATGGAGAAACATTTTCAGTATAATTTTCTGTTTTTAAAATTTTCCTTTATTAAATTAATATATATTCTTTTATAATAGTCATTACAAAATTATTCTTAGTCATTTATTACTGTCTCCATTAAAAAAAAAAAACCAACGAACCATTTACTCAGTGTCTATGTGCTCTTTTCTCTACTAAGCCATTGTTGTTATTGTTTGCCATCGAGTCAGAATCAACTCAAGGCAGTAAATTATAAGGAGGAGACTACCCATCATCTATCTCCTGCACAACATCTGGTGGATTTGAACTACTTGCCATTGAGTTTGCAGTGCAGCTTCCTACCACTAAGCCACCAGAGCTCCCTAAGTAACAGCATTTGTCTTCATGAGGTTCAGAATCTATGAAGGAATAGCATTATTAGCAGAGTAAACACAATAGAGTATACATGGCCTCGTCTTACGTGCTCTGATAGACATTTTGTTGAACCATATTATTTTTAAAACACTATCCATTTTGGTAATTCCTTAAGGATTCAGGAAGAGAGAACCATCCATCATATTATGTATTAAATTGTTATATTAATGTGTACCTATTGTTGTTGGTATTGTGTACCATCAGTTTGGAACTGGCCCATAGGTGATCCTCCAGCAGCTTTTCAGAAATAGTTAATCACACATGACGAGATTGCCCATCCTTCCATGGAGCAGCTAGTGGATTTGAACTATGTGCCTTGTGGATTGTGAGACAGTTTCTTACCTCTATGCTTTATACTAGTGTAACCTAATGACCTAGTTAGTAAGAAGTTGCACTGCCAACTCAAAGGCAGGCAGTTCAGATCCACAAGTTTCTCCACAGGATAAAGATGAGCTCTCTACTCCTAACCCTTTTATAGGCTCAGAAAAGGTCACCTCTGAACAGTTTCTGACTTGATAAGTTGTTTTGTTACTTGATAATAAATCATTTTATACATACAATAAGGAACTCTGGTGTTGTAGTTCATTAATCCATAAAACAACTGCCAGCCACAGCCCACATCTTCAGGAGTTCAATTCCACTAACTGCTTCTAAAGAGAAAAATGAACATTACCTCCTTTTAAGATTCACAGCTTCAGAAACTTATTGGAGGGTCACTATGAGCCAGAACCAACTGGAAGGCAGTGAGTGCCAGCATAATATGTAAACTATATGCAAATAGATGTAGATATTTTTGTTGTTATTGTGTATCATAGTGTCAGACTCAACCCATAGCATGCCTTTCGGCGAGTTTTCAAAGGCAGTTAATGACGTGGGAGGAGATTACCCATCCTTCTCCCATGGAGCAGCTGGAACTGTGTGCCTTCAGGACTGCAGCACAGCTTCTTGCCACTAGGCCACCAGAGCTATGGGGGGGAGGGGGTGTGCACGTGTGCACACACACATGTGTGAATGTTGCTAACTTAAGAGCAAGCAGTTCAAATCTACCAGCTGCTCCTGAGAAGAAAGATGAGCGGTCTCCTCCCATGTGATTTACAGACTCTGAAACTCCACCGAAAGGTTAGCTATGAGTCAGTTCTGACTCCAAAGATTTCTTTGGACTGAAAATGAAAAATAAAATCAAGCCATAATTTTCTTTTGAAAGTTAAGTATTCATTATGTGTTACTGTCATTGTTAAGTGTGTGTGGAGTCGTAGATGAGATGACTCATAGCGGCCCTATGAACAAAAGACCTGAATAATTGTATAGCTTTCAGTGTTTCTCCAAGTTCATAGGGTTTCCTGAGGCAAGCTATTTTGGAAATGGAAGCCACTCCTGCTTCCAAGCTTGTTTTAATTGGGGAGCTCCACCAAACACTTTCCACCATGGGTAACCATTATTGCATTTGACACATCAGTGTCACAGTGTTCAGCATCACAGCGACCATAAGTTATCTCTGTATAACAAATGGACAGACCAGGGTTATACGATCTAGAAGAAAGTTTGACCAAAAACAATTAAAACCAGGCCTGATGGCCATAGATT